CCATGTTTGTTCAAATTGAAAATGCTATGTGTGTAACATGTGTGTAATTAATCACAAATGCTATGTTTGAAACTGCTGTATTTGTTCAGTTTCAAAATGCTATGTGTGTACATTGAGCTACGATGTTTGTTCAAATGCTATTAACAGTTTAGTCTGTGTAACCTTTGTGCAAATGCTATTAAACATGGCAGTTTGAACAAATAGATGTTTTCAGTAAAGACACACTCTATTCCTCAAATTAAACTAGACCTGCTATTAACCCCATCAAACAGAAGCATAGCAGAGCACTACAAATTTCTCATGTATGCAGATTTAAAAAATGGCTTCTTCTTCTAACATTAGCAACATAAGATTACAAACGAGGCTGTGCAATTGTGGAAGAACCGCTGCCATACGTATTGTCAGAACAATAAGAATGGAAATGAAGGGCGTTTGTGCTTTGTTTGCCCATCAAAATATGTAAGTATGTATTGGAAATTTTAATCCTTTAGTAGTCACAGTAATATTTGTCATATTCAACTAACTGATTGTCATACATTGTAGAGTACCACTCCCACTCCCTATTGCAATTACTTCAAGTTCGTGGCTGATGATGACGAAGGCGTTATGTCCACAATCCCTTCCAACACTAGAGCTGGTGATGCTTTAACAGTAGAACACTTCAACGATGTAAGGACGAGGCTTCATGACTTGGGAAATGACCATGGTCGAAGGCTTAAAAGGATAGAAAATATTATCAAAGTGATGGTGTATTTCATTATATTTTCTAGGGCCTTGCTGCATCCCCCTAATTTTTGGCCCCCTAATCCCCCTAAATTTCAAACCAAGGCAAAAAAAAAAATGCCCAAAACGACGTCGTTTTGGGCATTAGGGGGATTAGGGGGCATTTTTAGGGGGACAAAAATCATTTTCCTATTTTCTATCATTGACAAATGATTTGTCCCCCTAAAAATGCCCCCCCCTAATCCCCCTAATGCCCCAAACGACGTCGTTTTGGGCATTAGGGAGATTAGGGGGGGCATTTTTAGGGGGACAGATCATTTGTCAATTAAAGAAAATAGGAAAATGATTTGTTCCCCTAAAAATGCCCCCCTAATCCCCCTAATGCCCCAAACGACGTGG